TCAGCTGACAAAAATTAATTCACATTTACTTGAACAAAAGTAATACCTCTTATTCCAGAAAAAGGGCTGAAAGACTACCAGATGTATTAAAAATAACAATACGTCAAACAAGGTGGGAGATGTTTAATAAGCTGTCTTAGGGACTAATAATTCAGCAGCTAAAGTTAACATATGGCAAAGGTATAGCATATTCATGATTTTCAAACAGGCAAAGTAAATGGCAGAGAGAACACTGATTTAGAGTCAAAGACTGGATTTACAGACAAAAAATAAAATAAAATATGAGGGCTCCAATGTGGAAAGATGGCTGTTAAAATGAGAGAGATAATTCTGTAGTTACTGTAGACATGGTAAAATATAACATACCCCTCTCATGAGTGCCTTTGAAAAGGAGCAAAGTTCACAGGGGAATATTGCATGAAAGAAAACCTGCACAGAAACAGGCTTCTTTATATGCAAGTTTGGCCTTAGGGACTGTGTTATTTATTCTGTTAATTCCACAGGATTTAGAGAGGTTTTTCCTAGAAGAGGAATGCTTTGGAAAAATACTTTTAGGAAAATACGAAGTTTTCTTCCTCTGAACAGGCTTGCCTAAAGATTTCATCATGGATTCTGTCCTTACACAGTTACAGATGAGTCAGACTTTACTGGAGAGCAAATCACCAGATATATAATTGGCTTACAGGTGAAGAGGAGAAACAGAAATAGAAGGAGTGACATATGGAAAAGGATAAAATGGTGTTAAAAAATGCATAGCTTGGCTTCAGAAATGACTTTGGCTGTGATGGGCTTTGATGATAGTTTGCAGCTATTGAAAAGGTGTGAAATGAAAAGGAGGAAAAGAAATTGTGTGAAACTTATGTTTACACCAAGTCTGAATTCAGCCGTATGTTTTCTGTAGAGGTGGCTGTACGTTTCTTTCGACCTATGTCCTCTAGATTTTTAACTAGACAGCTTGCACACTGTGAGTAAAGAGGATATTCAGACCTAATATTTAATTAGGTCTTTGCTATCTGTATCTTTGTACAAATCATGTCTTTATAGAGCAGGGAAGATCGTTATTTTCATTTCACAGATAGAAAGGCTTCCAACGTGACTGCAGGAGCATGTGTGCATCCCAGTGCAGGCTTGTGTGTTACTAGCAGAGCTCAGTGGAAAGCCATGCCATGGTCTGTTGGAAAGAGCAGACTTGCCTAAAGTAGCCTATAAAAGTTTACTTTAGAAGTATGTGACAGAGCAGGGAATTGAACCTGCTTGGTTTCTCACATCCCATGCCAGTGATACTGCATCATATTTCCTTCCTCTTCCTCTTTAGTTAGACATACAGTTGTATTTGGGGCTTGGCATGATGGGAAATACTACCATAGAGTGAAAGGAATCCTGTCCTATGAAAAGAAGTATCACTCAATTAAGCATTTTTATAAGAAATCGGTAAGCAGCTAGAAGAGGTAAGTAATCCTGTTCCTATGACGATACCTCATTTTCTCCAGTAGGAACGCAGGTGTTTCAGCACCTGGAAATCAGTTCCATTTCATTGTGAAAGCTGCATTGCAACCATGTGAGGCTGTAGTCAAAATTAAATTAGTGAATGTAGTATCTGCAGCATGGTCAAGACCTTCCTACAGCTTTCGTTTCAGGCTTCTCCTCTTGCTGGTTTTTCCACTTAATAATTCTAGTAAGTTTGTTGATATATGCAACTGGCTGTTGCTGCCAGGTGGTCAACTTTCTTTTGCGGTAGTTTTATTCCAATCAGTTGGCTTCCTGATAGCTGTATGTCTTTTCCCATTAGCTGGCTGTTGCTTCTTAATGACTGAGCTGCTGCTTCTTGTTTACCACTTTCTTTTCACAGCTCTCAGTTTGCTTCAGTTGACATGTCAGTAGAATCCCTGACAACATCAAGTATCTCCTTGTGCTACCACTCTTCCTCCTGCTGCTTCTGCTTTTTGATATGCCTGGTATTCTGGTTCTTGTATACTGCAACTACTGTTTGGAATAAAAATCAGCATTTCCTGATTTTTTTTAATAAAATCATCTGATTTTATTTCTGACTTTTTACTGATGTACTTTATTTCCCATTGTATTTTTGGCCTCAAGCTCTAGAGTTTTGCTCAAGACTGTTGGACTATTTTGAATTCTTGTATTCAATATTTATTGTACATATTAAGGCAATAGATAATACTAGGTGGGCCCCAATGGCTAAGTTCTGTATTTTTCATTAGTGCAAATGCTTTTCATATTTTTAAAGTTTCTGTTCCTAACCATATCTCTGCAAATCATATCGGTTAGTGATGTTACAAAAATTTAAGACTATCATCTATTTCAAAATGCAATATAGGTAACATAATTAAACTTCTTGTTAAGGAACCAAGATCTGGTTTTTATTGAAAGATATAGGTTAATTAGTGTGGAATGTGGAACAGAGACACTGAACGGGAAGACTTGTGTTTTTCAAACTCTAATCTTCAGAAGTGCTTTTCTATTGTGTGCTTTTCTAGTGACTATGCTGATGGATAGGTGGAAAGGATGAATTTCAAGATCAGATTTTAACGTAGCCTGCTAGCAGTGTTGAATCATTTAGAAAATAATTGAACCCAGAGTATTTACCTTGGTATACAGCATTAGTTCTGCATTAATGGACTTCTCTAAAATTTTTTATCTGTGTCACATAGTTCCTTTTTTTTTTGTCAAAAAAGGCTCAGACTGAGCTCTCTGCCTACCCTCTTTGAGAAAGCTGTCACAAAACTTTGACTGCTTCATATATGTTTATAATTATTTCTGTTCGAAGAAGCATAGAACAAACATTCTTAGGCCACTAAATATTTTTTGTCTTTACCATGTTCATGAGATGAAATAATTTACAAATAGTAGCACAAGAGAAAATGCTCTTGCATATAGTGATATTTCGTTTTCTGTTTGAATTGCGTTGATATTGTACATCTACTTCATTGTATTGTCACTATTTATAGCAATGATATGTCAGGAATGGCTTTACACTAAATTATAACAAACCCCAGATTTACAAGATTATCTGAAGTAGCAGATTGATATGGAAGACAATACAGTGTCCATTGCTTTCCTGATCACCATCATGTGACTAGAAGGTTTAAAAGCACAAATCATGCGACACATAACATTAACAAGCAGTGTAGCTGGATGACCCGGGTGACAAAGCCATCTTTGAATAGCTAAACCTCAGTTTTGAACAAGCCACTAAGCCAGAAGGAATCTTGTGATTTATGCTAGAAGCCAGAGTAGTTTTTTTTCTTGAGTTAGTGAGTAGCAGCCCGTGAGTCGGGCATTAGATGGTTGTATCTGTCTCACCTTTTTGTGTCCCTTCTCATCCTTCAGGCTGTTTGGCTCTTCCAGTCCTATGAAAAGTAAAATCTCAGCTATTCTTTTGTACTGTTCCAGAGCTTTACCAGGATGTAGGAGCTGTCAGAGCTGCCTGCAGTCATTTGTGTGGGAGGTGTGTGAGGGGACTTATGCATTAACCGTGCTGAAGTAATTACTGTATTTGACTTGAGTAATAATCAAGTGGTATTTGTTGCCAAAAAAAAAAAAATCTGGACAGGGGATAGAGGAGCATTTTTCTCATTAAACTCTGCTCAATAATTCCACAAAAATGAAAATATAAAATGCTTTGATGAAAAGCGTAGGAAGCACTATTTATGAAATAGGCACCATTTGTTATGATTTTCTGTTCAAAGTTTAAACTCAGAATACTGAAGTCTTTGGAGAATAAAATGTTAAGTAATTCTGCGGTCTTAATTTTTTTTTAGATGCTGCAGTTTCCCTGTGTTGCCATGGAAACACACTTTCTGTATAATTGCCAGGCTGCCTTACAGTGATCCAAATAACTAAAGAAGCTGTCATGTGGCATGACCCAGGATTATACTTGAGTGGAGATTTATCACCTACAGAGCAGCAATGACACCAAAGATATCTTTCACCTGCAGGATAAGGAATTACATGTTGCTGAAGTGCTGCAGAAACTAATGGTGGTGAATGTGAAGCTCTGGGCCAATGTTTTATGCAGGAGCACTATAAGCTCTCCCCCAAGCCTGCTCAGGCTGAGCTTATTTTTACTTATGCTTTACGTGAGTGAAGGATCAGAACTTCTATTACTAACACCAGCACTAAGCACGTTATTTAGGAATTTTATTTGTCTTGGAGGTACAAAAAGTTTGGAAAAAAAAGATTTGCAAAGGTTCATGGCTCTGACACTTCCCAACAAATCTAGCTCCTTCACCAAGAGGAATTAGTGCTGGGATCAAAAGAACCCTCCCCCCCCCCCCCCCCCCCCCCAAAATAAAAAGAGAGACATTAAAGTTCTCCTTAGTTTCTGCTTGATGAAGGAAGGTCTTTCATCTTGCACACTTCTTCAGGATATTTTTGATGTGAACCACAAATCCCAGTGATTCCTGGCAATACTCACTTCCAGGAACTCTTCTCTTGGCCATGCTTTCTCCCCTGTGTCCTCACTGTATTTTGATGTTTTGCTTCATAAGGAAGAAAGCTCTCAGGGTAATTTCTTAGTGATGAGCCCTGGGCATTTCAGATGAGCAATCTGAGGGTGTTTGTCATCACATTCAGTTCAGGCTGAAAATGAGATAAGTTTCTTGAAATATGCATTTTAAAACGTAAAAGTCAGAAAAAAACCCAAAAGAAACACCCAAACACACAATCCACTCCCCCCCCCCCAAAAACCCCAAAATTAAAGAAAGCAAACAAAAAACCCCTAAACCTCCAAAAAAACCAAACCAAAAAAAATGAAACAAAACAAAACAAAAACAAAAAAAAAACAACCCACAAAAAACACACCCTGAAACAAAAGCCAAAACAAATGCAGTTCTTCATCAGTCTTGGCACTGCAAGGATTTCCTACTTGCTCCAAATTACCCAGTGTGGGGACACAGCAGCTAGCATAGCTGCTCTCAATACCACGTGCTCTGGGATCTTCGCCTTTTATAGGCCCTCTTTGTTCCTTTATTAAGGATGGATTCTGCTAAAGTTCCCTCTTTCATTGCCTCAGCCTCACAGGTAAGATGGGCTCTGGGGGAGTACCCCATTCTTCCTCATAAGACTTTTTAGTCATTTGTTATTTTGTTTGGTGGTTTTGGTTTGGTTGGTTGGTTGGGGTTTTTTTAAGCAGCTCTTTCTATAGGACCTTTTTTTGAACTTTATTAAAGCTATAGTCTCCCTAGAATGAGTTCCTCTCTTTGCTCTCGGCAGACTTTACTTCTTGGTTTTCTTCAATATATCTGTGAAGTTACTTGCTCACAAGGGTGGCTACTTGGACATTTGTAGTAAGCAGGAGGGTTTCTCATTCCTTACCACTAAGGGTTAGATTTCTTCTCTTCTTCCCCCCAGATTTGCCTCTAGTTAATTAGAATTGAAGCTATCTCACACAGATACTGTGTTCCTTAACTAGTTTTTTCTGTCTCTTTCTGAAATTATTTTAAGGCTATAATAGAATTTCATCTTCCTAGATAAGGAGGAGGATTCACTGCTCATGCGCAACAGAGGGTTTATGGCTTCCAGATTACCATTAGCTTCTTTCTCAGATACCATATATGACTAAGTAATAAAAATAAAAAATCTGATATTCTGAGTCTTTGAGTCCTTTTTTTTTTTTTTTCCCCCATCTGTCTGGGAAAGGTCTTGTCACTGTAATGTGTAGCATTGTAAATTGTGAGCTAATATGGGCAAATCATGACTGGCTTCTTCCTGTGAGAAGGTTTGCGGCATAAAATAATAGAAATGCAAACTAGAGGAAGTAGCCATAGAACTACAGACTAGATTCAAACTGCATGTAGCCCATAGTCTCACAGGAACCATAATAATCTTTTCTTTTGAAGAAGAAAAGTGTAATGAGTGGCCATGTTTCAAATCATAATTGGATTTCAAAAGTCACTTCTTGCCTTCACGGTATGGTTGGTCTTTTTTCTGTCCTTCTTGCAGGAATGGATTATCAGCTGGAATGGCAGAGTACAAAAAGCAGTGTCTGAGCATATCTGATAAAGAATGTTGCTCAAGAAAAACTGTAAACCATCACTCCTGCGCAGGAACAGTAAAACATCATTTTAATTAACATGAGCGTGCAAGCTGAAGTCCATAGGCTTATGCCACTGACACTCATCACAGGATAATTTAGTTTTTAGTATTCAGGATGCTCAGCTGTATCAAAATCAGATTTTTCCTTTTTACCTGTCCTAGAACACTTATGTTTACAAAAATATTATTAATTGTCACTGAATAAAAATGACTATACCTACATTAGGTCTCTACTAAGCTTGCCTTAAAATTCTAGTTATTTTAGATGTAAGAATTAGAAGAAAAAAGTTGTCTTTGAAGGTTCTGTACTTACCACCATTCAATCAGAAAAATCACGACAATACAAAATGATTCTCATTATAACATTTTATACATCCCATTAAAAAAGAATATGTAAGTTGTCTGAAGGAGGAATGATTTTGTTGTTGTTTTTATAATGGCATGTTGGTCCATTACTCCTACCCTATGATAGTAATAAAAATAATTGTCTATAATTGGGGAGCCCAATAAAATGTTTTTAAATTGGAGAAAAGGAAATTATTGTGTGAAGGCAATAACCTTTGTAAGGTAGATGAAGACTTGTTTATATGAGTCCATTGGGGGGAAAAAAGAGTATTTTGAATATATGTGATATAGGAATTTTAAATTACTAGCTAAATTCTTTTTTCTCCCCTTTCTGATTGTATTCTCTTTTGCCCTTTTTCACATTCTCTCTATTTTGTTTTCTTTCCTGTATTGCTCAAATGAACTACTGATACTTAAAAGCCCAGGGGGAAATATGAGATGTTTGCAGTTCATGCCAACTCTTGTCTCATCCTCAAAACATAAGCAAACAAAGATTCTTCTCTCTTATTTGTGAAAATAATTTACCTTTTTTTTTTTACTTTGTGAAATCTACCTAAATTTCCATTGGTCATCACGTTGAAAATCATGGAGAAAAACTATGGATTTCCAGCCTGACAATTGCACCAATATTTTTTTAGATATTTTTCCATGCAACTTCAGTGTGTGAGATATACTCTTAGGCAACAGAATGCCCAGGCATGCGCACAAGATAAGTGTGTGTGCTTGTCCCCCATTCACTCTGGTTCTGCCCCTTTTGATGATATGAATGCAGAACAGAAATCTAGAACCTCAGGAGTTCTTGCCCTGCTGTTCCTATCAAAATGCTATTTACTGTTTAACATATTACAATGACAACCTGTTTCCACACTTGTAACCTCTTCTGTAAACCAAGCAGGAGACTGTTTCTTACCAAGTTGTCTCCCTGGGGTGTCCTAAGGATTAATTGCTGTAAGTGCAGTTCCTGGAACACACAAAGTTCCCTTTAAGTATCCATTATTAAATGTTATATGTCCTCAAATACTTATTCACATTAGTTTTTTCTTACTTAAGTAACCCCAGTGATATCTGTTTCTATTAATTATTTTTATTTGCCTCTCTTCTTAGACCCAAGCTAAATGGCTTTGGCAAAGCAAATTCACCAGGCAGCTGCTTTCTTCTGTATTTAAAGTCTATGTAGCACTGTCTTTTTACCTTACTTTATTCACTTACATTTATTTTTGTCGATAAATTTTTTATTTCAGTGGTTTTCTGACTCTCATTTTCCTTATTAGGGGAAGTATTTGAGAATATTGAAAGTAAGAAAATGCACAACCCAATAGCAGAGGAATAAAGTGGAAGAGAATCAAGAAATATCATGCATGCTTGCAGCTGCCAGAGGTCTTACAATTTGCCTAACAGCCTGAAGAATGAGAAATGAGGAGGTGGCAATGAAGATTTTGGTAAGCAATGACTTCAGCATGCAAAAATAGGTATGTTTTAATAAAAAACTATTTCATTAACTTCTAATTAGTTTGGCATCCAGTTGCTTAGAAGGTTGTTCTTAAAACTAGCAATCATTATCTTCCATTTTTCTGCTCCATTCATTGAGACTGCCTCCTCTCTCCATGTGTAGTTTTACATGTGTAGACATAGAATTTCTCTGTCTTGGCATTGTGCAGGCAGAGGGCTCCATGTCCTCCATTTCCTGATTTCCTATTAGTGTCAGTAGTGTATTTACAACAGTGTCTGAACATAATTAACAAAGTTGATGATAAAACCAAGTTAACCCATCCTCTTGTCTCCGTCACATTTTCCACTAAACAAATGTAGTGACTCTCTCCATTAAGTAATGAATTTACTGATTCAGTTTAATCTGCAAGAAAAATAGGCAGAGAGGCATAATGTGATGACTTAAATGAACTCTTCACCAACAAGGAAGCTTCATTCTTTCTTCTGATGTGATCGCATTTCTTTTAGGAGTGTCGTGGTTTAAGCCCAGCTGACAACTCAGAAGCACACAGCCACTTGCTCACTCCCTCCCTTTCCTCCCCCAGCTCCCGGAGGGTTGAGGAGAAGAATCAAAAGAATGTAACTCCCACGGGTTGAGATAAGAACAGGCCAGTAACTAAGGTATAACACAAATCACTACTGCTGCCACCACCAATAATAATAATTATAAGGGAAACAACAAGGGAAGAGAATGCAACCACTCACCCCCGCCGACTGATACCCAACCCGACCTGAGCAGTGATCTAGCCCTTCCGGTTAACTGTTCCCAGTTTATATACTGGGCATGACGTGCTGTGGTATGGAATATCTCTTTGGTCAGTTTGGGTCAGGTGTCCTGTCTCTGCTTCCTCTCGGCTTCCCCTCCTCCCTGGCAGAGCATGAGTCTCAGAAAGTCCTTGGTCAGAGTAAACATTACTGGGAAGCAACTAAAAATGTCAGTGTTATCAGCATTGTTTCCAGGCTCAAAGTCAAAAACACAGCGCTGCACCAGCTACTAAGAAGGAGAAAAATGACTGCTACTGCTGAACAAAGGACAAGGGGTTTTCCTTGTTTTGTTTTCCTTCACAATTTATTTTGTACTATTAGCAATGTCAGGGTAACTCCAAATTTAGGAGTCTTGTTCCCCTCCTTATTTAAAACAAGATAATAATAAATTATTATTAATAAATAAATACAAAATAAATACATAAATAACTTTCATCATTAAACTGGCTAATTACTTAAGACATTCATAGGTAGGCCAAGATAACCCTGGCTCCTGCTGAGTTTCAAACTTTCCAGCCAAAGTGCATTCAATCTTCCTTGTGTCAGGAAGTGGTTAGCAATATTAGAAACTAATTAAGGCTTAATTAAGGCTGAATTCATCATTATGCCTGAGCATGCTCCTTAGCTGGAGGACACAAGCAGTTCTACTGACTTCATGTTCTTACTCCTAGGCTTAAATTTGAGTACCTTGCTGAATTGGAACAAATTATGAAGATGCTAAACAGGAAAAAAAAGTTCATTTGCTCTAAGTGAAGCAATATACAGCTCACATTCCGATTGCAGAAAAAAATATGCAGTCCTCTCCCACTCCACTGAACACCCAACATATTACACTTGCCAAATACAAGGACTTATTACTTTCAAATTTAAAATCTATCTTTGACTTATCTTAGTTCAAAGCCTTGGAGCTGTAATAAATTGTTGAATGCTCTTATGTGGCTTCTGATATGTCCTTGGCAAGGACACATATAAAAGGGAAATTAAAATCTTGGACATTTTGTAGGAGAACTTTTGTCCTGGGATTGTGCAAATAAGAACCTTGTCTAGGAATACAAACTAGCCTATACTCATGTATCAATACATTCATGTGCCAGATCTGACAAAATATTGACCATATGAAGCTGCAGAAACTGAAATTATGGGTGTACACTAGGGATCACAATCCACTTTTTTCTGTACAAGTAGTAATACATAACTATGCAGCCAATGCCCAAGGTTCAATATTATTATCAAACAGAAGGACAACCTCTCCACATCAAAAAAATCACACAAAATAATCAGGTTATTTCAGCAGTTTTCCCCGCACTCCATCTGCTGCATAACACTGTTTTTCACCTGTATTTCCTCCCTTTTTTTCCATTCAGGAGTACTCTGTATTGTAGCAAGAGCAGTCATCCTCTGGCTCCCAGCAGTGAAGAATGCAAAGCAGATGGAAGCCAGCAAGTTACCAAGGCCAGCAAGGATTGACCTGGATGGAAGTAAGCATGGTGTCTCATTTACTGCACATGAAGAAAGCTACGCCAAGTAAGTTATAATTACAGATGTGTAAGATGGAAAAATCCATATCCTTTGTGCCTTTTAGAAGTCTTATGCTTTGCCTTGATCTGACCATTCTCCTTCCGGACCCACATCATTAATTATTCACACAAGACCCCCCAAATTAACCTGTAATTCTTCCATAAAAGCTTTAAAATTGACCTATATGTGCAACTACTACTCTCAGCTCACCTTGTTTGAGTGTGGATGTGGTTCTCTTGTGGCAGGCAAGAGATGGATTGAAAGAGCATGCAATTCACGGTTCTTCAATAAAATTTTAAGCTACAGGTTTAGTGGCAACTCTGGGATCTCTGGCTAAATTAGGCTTGGAACCTTTATGGGTTCCAAACATCTTCATATGTATTAGCAGAGGTGAAAGCCAATGGATAAAGATTTTAGCATCCTGAATTAAAATTGTCACATTATTTTTGAGTTTACAGTTTATTCCATGGATGTTGAAGGGCACTATAGCAGGGTGGTCTGCCCTCTGTACATATAATGGCATCGGGGGTAAGACAAACTTGTTCAAGACCATTTCTAAGAAAGTGAATTCTCTGAAGGATCACCATTCTAGGCTGGAACAGTGGAAGAAAAAGAATACAGGTTTCTTAATGGTGTAATTACCTGGCCATGAAAAGGCATGTTTTTAAAACAGAAGGTACTTTAAAAACAAGATAAAACAACTTTTGATGACTTTCTCTTTAAAGAAAGAGAAAGTGGTGAGGCACTGGAATGGGCTGCCCAGGGAGGTTGTGAGTGCTCCATCCCTGGTGGTGTTCAAGGCCAGGTTGGACAAAGCCTTGGGTGGCATGGTTTAGTGTAAGATGTCCCTGCCCATAGCAGGGGGGGTTGGAATTAGATGACCTTAAGGTCCTTTCCAATCCTATTATATGATTCTATGATTCTAAAGTACTTCATGAATAAGCCACAGCAATACTGAGCCACTGGAAACTTGGATTTCCTGGATTGTTCTCAAAAGAACAATATATTGAAAAGGTCAAATAGAGAGGATGGGTTAGTGACTCTTAACAGTGTATTTCTTAGTATATCAATGGGAGAGAAATTATTATTGTGAATCTTAAGGTT